TGCTGCTGTTTTATTCGTTTGGCCAGGGCCTAACCGCCATGTTTTTTGTCTATAGTCCAAGCTGTGGAAAAATTTGCTGGAAAATATGTTTGCAACTTTCCTAGATTTTCTATCGAATCTTTCTTGATCAAGAGGCAAACCAGTTTTCATAGAAAAGCCGCTGAGCCGAGTAGTACCGGTTGGAAAATCTGTCTTTTTACAGTGTGTTGCAAGTGGAGGTGGTGATTTGAAGACCAAATGGTTGAAAGACGGAGAGCCATTCCTAGTCAAAGATAAAGAATCTAGAATCTTGGCGTTGGGAGAAAGCATCTTTATTCAAAGTGCCCGCATTTCAGATTCCGGTATGTTTACGTGCGTGGTGTCGAACGTAGCTGGGCCAATTACATCAAGTGCCAAGCTACTAGTGTTTGAGAAAAAGACACCAGGTACTGCTTTTGAATATTCTTTCTTATAACTCCTATGCAAACATCGTTACCGTCGTAACCGGGGGTGCAAGGGTGCAGAAAATCTGCCACCCTCTACAAAATTCTTGTCGGCAAATTTTTGATAAGTGGAGTACTACCGGAATATTGGAATGATTGCATTTGGGTGTTCTCTTCGAGCTGATAGTAAAGTTTCCAAGGGCAATAACGTACCAAAAAGTTGGGTTGAGAAAAGGATAGGGCCGCAAAGGCATCACCCAACGGCCCTCCAGTGGCGAAGCTGGCCTTAAGTCAATGGTCATGCTTTGTATGGGAGAGAAAGGGGATGGGGGTCTGGGGGCATAGCCCCCAGGAAAATTACACACAACCACACCCTATAGATGCTCGGAAAAGGGGGGTAACGCCCTTTTTAGTATATTGAATCAAATAGCTCTTGTTTAGATCGCAATCAATGATGTCAAGGACTTCAACATCTAAATGTTCTTTCCACCCCATTCTCCAATGTTGTGTTTTGGAAATATCTTTGGGACAATGTTTTTGAAAAATTGTGCATTTGAAAACCCCCAACAAACACTACTGATCATACTGGAAACACATTGCAGATGAGAGAATATTATATCTACAAATATTTTTCAAAATCTAAACTTTTGATAAATCAGCTTATTTAAATCAGCAAGGGCTAAGAAATATCCATTCTCTTACTATTAATTATTGACACTTTTGATGATGTTTCTGAATTAAGATGAATTAGGCAAGATAAGCCCTCAGTGATAGGTAGGCCCTCCCTTGTTTATGATACAGGGAATTGTGGGATGCTTGTTTCTTGGTTCAGAATTTTATACTTAGCTTCAATTTTATAAGCTTAATTTTTACATATCTAAAACAAATGTATCAAGGATAGTACTGTTTAGCATATACAAAAAGTTTTGACCCCTGTATTTAAGGTGTAACATGCCATAAACATCAACAAGTTAAGTCCACCCCAACATCAAGGGCTTTCCTATAACTTTGGTCTTCCATGTTTAAGAAACCCCATAGTTTTCCTGGCAACCGAAAGCCCTGGGGAAATCAAACTGCACTGAGAAGGTTGGCTGCGTGGAAGCTACATATATAGTGTGATTAAAAATCATTTCTAAATTCTATCCATCAGCAAATTATAGTCAAATATCCAATAACAGGCAAGTTCC